AAATTTCATGATCATCGACGACCACATAAAACTGATTTTTCTATCCTTCGAGAGCAGTACCTCTTTTGTAGATGAAAGGTGCCCTATATCCTTTTCTGTACCCTTGACAATGAGTGCAAAAGTACCTAAGTAAGTGACGATGTTAATTACTTTTTTTTTCAATATAAACCAGTCAAAAAAAAACGTTTAACATTATTTAGACATCAGTGTTTCTGCCTGTTTGGCTAATAGAACTTTAATTATTATTAATGCTATGTACATGATAAAGTTATAGATTATTTAATTAGCTATAAAAAAATCTATAAATTTTTTGTAAGGCTTGCGGTTACGGACATATTTTTGAATAAACTAATTGCACCCATTCGTCAGAATATTCTAGTTCTAGGACCCTAAGTGAACCCTCTACAATTAAAAAATAAAATTGCTGCCTACTCAGGATGTTAATGTATGTATTATAGCTATCAATTGACCAACGGACCGGTAATTTAAGGAAAAATGAACTTTCGTCGGCCATACATAAATATGCGTTATTTATTACTGCAAGTGATTATAATAATTGGCAAAAGCACTTCCAAAAGTATATACCTAAATACTTATTTGTCTTTTTTATAAACATCTTGAAATAGAGAACAGATATGTATAAATAGCACTGCGAATTTTTCAAGATATTTTTACTAGACGGCATTGACACCGTTGTTACGATGATACATGTGTAAGGTTAAAAAATACTTCTAATTTTTCAAATAAAATTCAAACATGCTCACTAACTGACCGATACAGGGCGTGCTTTAAATATTTTTACGACATTAAGTTAAAAAAACAGATAATACAAACATAAACAGAAGGTTATTGTGCAACAAGTTGAATACTTTTATTTGTAGAATTTTTACGAGAGCAACTACTTTCGTCCTTTTTGTAATTTACATTAAGTTATTATACTATGATATTGCAGTAAGACAATAAAAACTACGCAATTGTTTAGGAAATCTTTCTCTTTCTGCTTTTAAATGCAATTCGTAATTATTAAATAATTAAGAGTTATAATAATCATTTCTTTTGCTACATGCTAATATAGGCGACTCATTGTTTTGTGTACCTATATATATAATTATTCTTTCAATTAGTTTAGTGGCCGACCATCTTTATTTCTCCATTATTACAATATTGTTGCACTGTCGGCCATCATACTTCTTTAATTGTTGCTCTTTGTTGCGCTGTCGGCCATCATGGTTTTCTAATTGTTGCTCTTTGTTGCGCTGTCGGCCATCATGCTTTTCCAATTGTTGTTCTTTGTTGTGCTGTCGGCCATCATGCTTTTTTAATTGTTGCTCTTTGTTGCGCTGTCGGCCATCATGCTTTTTTAATTGTTGCTCTTTGTTGCGCTGTCGGCCATCATGCTTTTTTAATTGATACTGTCGTTAGCCATTGGTAGCTGCTATTCGCTTGTTTTTATCCCAACAAGCAAATTATGATTTAATTGGTCATATTAATTGAGTCATAATGTGTCTTAGAATATTTCAAAGAATGGAATAAGATTGCTTTCACATAAAATAAGAGCGTTATTTATAATTGAAAATATCCATGTTTATATTATATATGGGTTTATTATTTTCGGTACATTTCGGTATATTTTTGGGGAAAGCTCAAGCCGAGAAGCCAAAGATACAAAACTACGACTTATACAATTTACGTATAAATACAGTAGTTGTATTTATTGACGTTTTAACGGCACGTTAATAATTCCGTAAAGAAATATTCGAATTTGTGTGAATGTCCTTAATAATTAAGTAATAAAAATCGATTTTACGTATACAACAAAGAGGTCTTTATGTGGCTTCTCGTCAGTCTTAATTATTTATAGGAACATTATCCGGCTATAAATTTAAACGCATCTCGAAAATGAGTGGACGTAATAATTGAAAATGTAGCCGAAACACTCGTAAAATTGTTTAAAAATACCTAGCGAAGTTCACATTATTATTTTTGGATCTGAATAATATTTGTCCTTGTTGCCAGTTTGCACCGTAACAAAATAACTACCATTTCATTTCGTAGTAGGTAGTGAAATGCTTGTTTTGGTTTTTGTTTTTCATTAAATATTTTTTACGCAATTCTTATCTGGTTTTATTGTCTTCTAAACGCAAAAATCTAATAAACTGATCGTATATCATAGTCATTAAGTGTCGTTAAATGCTTCAAACATATTTATTTTCCACCGTATAATTTTTTCAAACATTATTTTACCACTTTAATGGGTACTTACATGATTTATGAACATATCAACTTTGGCTGAGAATTTATAACAAATAACCAAGCATGCACTACTGGTAAGTATAAATTTTCGCCTTTTCATTGATGCTATTCTAGTTTTTATGAATTTCTTGTCTCAATACAAATTATCCTTTAATTAATTTATTTTAATTGTAAAGTATAAATTATTAAATTAAAATAAGCATCACCTGTTAGCTTCATAAATAAAGCAATTATACTGCATGATCATTATTAAAAAAAGACAAAACCGCCAATTCACGAAGTAACCACATGGCCATAAATTAATTTTTTTACCTTTATTTAATTTTGCTAGATACTAAAAAGCCTTACCATTGGATAACAAACCATTGTTTCCTACAGTACTATTTTCTTCGTAAAACTTTTTTGATAAGATGATATGATAAAGGCGCCAGGGTCGTGTTATAATCACAATAATCGATCATTAAATTTCAGAAAGGGAACAGCACTTGTTAAAAAATATGTTCAGTAAATAGACGGGAACAAAAACGCGACAATAATAACCGGATCCCTTCCAATACAGGTAGTCGAAATACAACTGGTGTTTTGATTTGATTGGAAAGTTGTGGCGCCGCGACGCTTACGGGCGTCACAACCGCTAACGTTCTCAACGTGCATGCTGCACCATCTTCATGCATTTTCCTGTACTATTAGAAAAGTTACATTTAGGTATTTCCCTGATTTTATTTTTTAATGCACTCTGTGTGCAAGTAAAAGTTCGGGGTTAATAATATACATTCATTTATACTGCCCTTAAGTACATTATTTAAATTTAAAATAAAAAGGCATTAATATATACGGTGTTCCTTCTTAAAATAGGGTTGTTATCTTAGCGTTGATTTCAAATAACACAGTAATTAATTATAATTTTCCGTTTTTGTTTAAAAACGGAGGAGTAATCGCCATCTGTTAGGAGAACTTAAAAATAGCATCAATATTTTTGCAAATTGAGTAGCATATGCTGCCATCTGCAAGTAAGCTTGAGAAGCTTGTTGAGTACAATAAATTCCACTAAATGCAGCTTTATACTACAGATGGCACCACTTGTAGGATTGCATTGAGAAGTATATTTAAATATTATACCGCGAATTTCCATACAAACAATATAATCTATCTAAAAAAGGCTAATTTAGTAAATAAATTATTTACTTCAGTTACTGAAAAAGTTTAAATTCCTTGAGACGAGCTTTTCACGAGCATCATCTGTTAAATATATACATATAGTCGTGAGGGTACCAAAATGAAAAGTGCAAATGTCTAAGTCTGTACTCAACGAAACGAGAAAGAAGCTATATTTATATTAGATAACATATTATTAATTGCATTATATGATAAGAGGAATAATGTTGAAAAATATGTACGAATATATCCTTATTTTCCAATTCCATTTATTTGTATTACAGTTGTTCTAGTTGTAAGAGTAGTGTTAAGTATTATTCTTAAGTCCACACCATATGTAGATACGTATGTAAATTAAAATTGTTTATTAATATTCTTCAATCAGTTAATTGTACATAAATTTACTGTAATGTGTTTATATTTTGAGTGACACTAAAGACAAAATAAATAATCGTTAATTTTCATCAAACCACACTATTCCAATGCAAACAAAAGAAGTATGTAAACGATTAATTCTTATTGATAAAAATTACAGACATAATTTATGTTTTACAGCTTATCTAAAACATTTTTATTGATGTTCTACATTATATCAGCTGTTTATGTAGATGTAGTCCACCTTTTAATATCATTTATCAATATCCAAGTCATTTAATTCTTCATCAAGACCATCTAAATCCTCATCTGCAAACAAATTTTCATTAATTGGTACATTAGTGATATTATCATCTTGGGATCCTTCAGATATTCCATTCTCTTTTTCAGAATGCCCCAAATTATTATTTTTTAATCTCCCCTCTAGAGCCAATGTCCCTGTATCATCAGCCTAAATAAATAAAAAATTATGTAACAAAATTAAGTATCTTTCTGTCTTGTCAACAGCATACTTCTTGTGCTTCTAATGCAAGGTTGTCTAAAACTAATTCTTTATATTCTATGCCTTCATCTTCGTCTTCTACAGCATATGAATCGAATGCCTCATCCCCTTCCTCCATATCTTGCTCAGCAGCAAGGGCAGGATTAAAACTGAACATTTCTCTACCAGAAAGACCAACTTGTCTGCCTGCTTTATAATCACTTCGTTTTTTCTCTTCTTCTTTTTTGGCATTGTCAATTTTTTCCTAAAAGTTGAAATACAATTAGTTTACACTACACATGGGAATAAAATATGTTCTTATCACCTCAATTTTTCTCCTCTTCCAAGCTAAAAATGTTTCTAAAGTTACTTTGGTTTGTTTAGGTCCCAAAGCAGCCCTTTCTCTTTCAATTAAGTCTTCAATAGAAATTTCATTTTTCTTGGCATCTTTCTTTTTATCTTTTTGAAGTACAAAACCAGGTGGTAAAGCATGCCTGTAAATACATTTCTCTCCTGAAGGACATTGCCAAAACCAACCATATTTTGACTTTTCGACAGCTTCTAGAAAATGTTTACAAATCTAAAATTAAGTTTTATTTAAAAAATCAATTCGGTAATTCACTGTAAGTAAAAACACTACATACAATTTCAGTATGAGGCATTGTCTTGTTACTTTGACCATGTTTTCTTTCTATTACTTCTTTAAGTTTTTCTTCATCCCAATTATCCATCGTATCTTCTAGTTCATCATCCCTCATGTCCACATACAAAGAACGTTTTTCAGCCTTCCTTTCAATTGTAAGATCATGAGAAAACTTACATTTATCACCTTTGCCACACTGGCCTTGTTTGAAAAATGCACATACAATTGATTTCGGGTCTGCACCTATTCAATTAATTAAACTACATCAGCAACAAATAACTAAATTTTATAGTTATTAGTACCCTTTTCCACTTTTTGTGTTTGGACTGGTTTAAATAGCATTGCCAATTCCTTTTGTTCTTTAAGTTTCTTCTCTCTCTCCAATTTCTTTGCTGGATCTTCTTTAACTGGATGATGACCGCCAGATTTAACCTGCTTTTCTACTTGTTGAATAAATTTTTGCTGCTTAGCCCCCTTTTTATTTTTTAATCCGAATGTTTTATCCTGAAAGCTACACGTGAAACTCATATGTTCATAATATTAGCATGAAATTTTTAATAAATACCTCGATAACTTTTTCTTTCTTTTTCTGTTCGGTTTTTTTGCTAGGCCCGGCCGCTGGTGCTTTTTTCGGTGGCATGATTTACAACTTAATTAATTGATTAATTAATTACTAATATGGGAAAGATGGAAAATATATTCAATAAAATAACAACTTCCACTAAAGACCATAGATCTTGTCGTTATTTGTCAAGTTCTATCAACTTTTCAAATGTCAAACTGTGCGGCAGTGGTTACTGCGTGGTTACCGCAAACAAAACAAAATTATAGTGGGATAAATGTATTCTTTAACAAATTAAATAAAATACTTCACGAATATTTAAAAATTCGCATTAATTAATTATAACTTCAGAGGCTAATTATTGACAAATTAAAATATTTGAGTTGTTGATATTCATAAGAAACTCCCAACCATATTCTATTGGTAGTACTGAGTACTTAATTGAATCTTTTATTTATAAACATTATAAATTTGGTAGCCTGCAGAAAAGATGGTTATTGAACACAAAATCAAAGTGTCAAAAATAAGATTAAGGAGTTTCGTCCTTGCGCATTTTTTTCATAAATAGTTTTATCGTTTTCAAACGATTTTAAAAGTAATGCAGTGAGTAATAGTTATTAAGCCAGAAGTTTCATTTTAAATATGATTCTTCAGGAACCAATACAGGTATTTATTCTTAACCTCAGTCATTAGATTTAAGTTATTCAGCCCTAATTTTGTTTTCAGGCTACTGTTTGGCACTGTCTGAACCATTATCAATTTTCAGACGCAGTATTTTTATCGGAGAGACTGCATGCAGAAGGTTAGTATTGTAGCAGAATAAATTTAGTTCATGTAAACTTGTAATTAAACTTTCAGTTGAGACAGATGATTCATTGTTCCTATTAGCTACAGCATATTATAGAAGTGGTCAGATCGATCATGCTTATCATATTCTTAAAGATAGATGTAATAGTTCACCACACTGTCGATATTTATTTGGAAAATGTGCATTTCAAAAAGAAAAGTAAGTGTAGATAAACTGTTATTGATATATTCACTTTGGAAAAGGCCTTTTGTTATTTACAAGTGTGTACTTGAAGTAGGTTAATTTTTTTATTGTTTAAGAAGTATAGTTTTGTATATACTCATCTGTTGTTTAAGTTTTAGAAGCTTCTTTTTTATAAACATTAATATTCTTTTTTTTCTTTTATTAGGTATGCAGAAGTGGAATCAGTAATTTTAGACAGTTTTAGTACCAAGTGTAAAACTTTAGAAGACATAGTTATAGAATTTGGTGATCAAGCCGCATTTGTTCTAATTCTACTTGCCAAGACAGCTATAAAAACAGAAAAAAGGGCAAAGGCAGCAGAAGCTCTTAAGCTGGCATTAAAACTTAATCCCTTTCTTTGGTCCTGTTTTAGTGAACTATGTAATTTAGGTGAAAAGCCTAATGCAAGTGAAATATTCAAATTGACAGGATTAGAAAACTTATCCACTTGCTACGGTAGTCACATGAAAAACTTCGAAACTTTCGTACATACTGCTAATACGCCTTGTCAAGAAATTACCTATGCTACTCCACCCCAGCAAATATTTAACACTGTAAACAATGTGCCCCCTAATATAAGCAACAACACGAAACTCCTTTCTCCTGAGGAGAGTCCTTTAGCCAACCCTCTTATAATGTCTGGTTGCAATTTTTTGCCAGTCACGCGAGCGAAACCCTTAAAATATAGATTACTTAATTCGTCATTAGCATCTAGTCCTAGTTTTGGAATGCTCCCCTTGGACAGCCCAGAAGTGATTTTAGGAACGCCGCTTGTGTCCCAAGCCACACTTACAGAATCAAACGATCAACACAAATCTCTAGCGAAAAAGGTCAGAGCTCATATGGGGCAATTAATTAATAGAAAAGAGACCCCTTTACAAAACAATAAACCAGTCTTTAGTCAGTCAAGTAACACGAACACGATCTCAGTAACTCCCAGCACTCCAGCTTCTGTAAACAATTTACAACCAATTCAGAATGTTCGACGAAGTTCGCGATTGTTCTCAAACTGTTCAGTAAAAGAGAACAATAAGTCGCCAAACAGATCCAAGTTTGCAACCCCACGTTCACCCACGAAGAAAACCAAACAGCGGATAGCAAAATGTAACTTGAATAAAACCTCTACTTTTGCAGAAAATACTAAAAATCGACTTGAAAAGGAAAAGTCGGAAACCATAACGTCGAATAACAACTACAGTGCAATATTAGGCCAAAATCACCAGAGTAACACGAATTGTACCCAGCAAATAACTGCGATTCAGAAACAGAGCGCTGAAGGACTGATGAATCTGTTAAGACAATTGGGCAAAGCGCATCTCGATTTGTCGCTATTTAATTGCAAAAACGCAATCGAAGAATTACTATCCCTTCCACCAAATCAGTTTGAAACCACTTGGGTGTATGGCATGTTAGGTTTAGCTTATTTTGAAATGGCTGATTACGAGAATTCTGTAAAATACTTTGGAGAAATTCGAAATCGAGAGCCACATAGCTTCCAATTTATGGACGTATATTCTACAGCTCTGTGGCACTTGCAAAAAGAAGTTGCCTTATCTGCTTTGGCTCAGGATCTTGTCAGTATAAACAAAAACTCTCCAATTACTTGGTGTGTTAATGGAAATTGTTTTTCACTACACAAAGAACATGATACAGCTATAAAATTTTTCCAAAGAGCGGTCCAAGTAGAGCCTGCTTTCGCCTACGCATACACCTTATTGGGACACGAATATATTATGACCGATGAACTGGATAAGGCAATGAGTTGTTTCAGAAATGCGATCAGAATCAATCCGCGACATTACAATGCGTGGTTTGGCATCGGAACGATTTATTCTAAGCAGGAGCGCTACCATTTGGCCGAGGTTAATTATTTGGGAGCGCTTGCAATTAACCCAAACAGTTCTGTTCTCATGTGCCATTTGGGCATCGTTCAAAATGCTCTTAAAAAAACTGACAAAGCACTAAATACTCTAAATCTAGCTATTAACAAAGACCCAAAGAATCCGCTTTGTAAGTTCCATAGAGGATCCATTTATTTCAGCATTGGTAGGTATGCAGAAGCACTGAAAGAACTCGAGGAACTCAAAGAAATCGTACCTAAGGAATCTCTAGTTTACTATTTAACAGGAAAAGTGCATAAAAAGCTTGGAAACACAGACCTAGCGTTAATGCATTTCAGTTGGGCGACCGATTTGGACCCAAAAGGGGCCAATAGTCAGATTAAAGAAGCGTTTGATCCTTCCTTCGGTCGAAGTACTACTGAGATGGAATCACCGGCTTCTCCTACAAGAGAAGAAAGTAATTCCGGAGAACAGCAACTTCAGTTTTTCGAGCTCCCTGAAGAAAGTGATGACAGTCTGTGAATAAATGAGGATATCATCTCAAATTTTTAATATCCTGTATCGCCGGTTGATTATGAAATAAGAATTTTGTTCGAATTGTAAAACAAAACGCGCGATTATTGTATTAAATAATAATAATAATGTGCCGTTTTGACCAGGATTATGAATGAATTGTATCATCGCCCTGTATAGAAAATCGCAAGTGTTGGATAATTTATATATATAGAACCTCCTCTTTAATTTTGTCGTCCAGTATTTAATCGGTACGAGTATTTATTCTTTGTTCAGTTTAATAAATAGCTGCAGACAATGACGATACAAGACTTTCTTTTTTTTTGTATTCGTGTACATTTTTAATTTAGAAGAATTAAGTTTTTCTGTAAGTATATTTCGTGTAATAAACTTGTGTTTAAACAACTAAATCAGTTACATGTAAGTTCTCAATAGAAAAACAAAAATCTTCTTCCTCGGTTAACATTCTCCATATCCAATATGCAAGAGCTTTTTTTTACGCGGTTCGTTAGCAACAATTGTTTGAAAGTAGTCGCATAAGGCCCCTGTTTCTTCAACTATATAACTAATGGTCACTATTTTATCTTGAACTTTTTTTCAAGTTATTCCCGGTGAAGGACATGAATGGGCGTCCTTTGCAATTTTCATCTTCCTTGGATGTTCTGATCAGTTTAAACCCCATGCACAGGGTCCGCCAATGTTTCCACCAAGTCGGCGTGTGTCTTTGATAGACATTTTTGTCAAGCAGCTCTCGTAGCAGCTATTTATCTTCTAGACTTTTTTAAATTACTTAATTAGGGAAAGTGCAAGGAAGCACAATCACCTTTTTCTTTAAATTTTTATGAGTAGACAATTGTTACTTTTACGTCCTCCCTCATACATCACATATACTTACAGCACTACTCTTATGGTAGGGACTTGTTTCACTCGTATAGTATTTATTCACACATTGCATACTAATGATTTTAGATTTTGGGACAATTTCGCTTAGCTCAATAGTTCATTGCCCTAACAAAAAAAAACCATACCGAGGTTTTTAAATTTAAAAACGAAGAGCTCGTTTAATGGTTCCATCTAAGTAAATTTTTAACACGTAAATGCATTCCAACCTGTTAATTAAAAATCAGGTTACTTAAACAATTAATTATCATAANTCTTTGTTGTGCTGTCGGCCATCATGCTTTTTTAATTGTTGCTCTTTGTTGCGCTGTCGGCCATCATGCTTTTTTAATTGATACTGTCGTTAGCCATTGGTAGCTGCTATTCGCTTGTTTTTATCCCAACAAGCAAATTATGATTTAATTGGTCATATTAATTGAGTCATAATGTGTCTTAGAATATTTCAAAGAATGGAATAAGATTGCTTTCACATAAAATAAGAGCGTTATTTATAATTGAAAATATCCATGTTTATATTATATATGGGTTTATTATTTTCGGTACATTTCGGTATATTTTTGGGGAAAGCTCAAGCCGAGAAGCCAAAGATACAAAACTACGACTTATACAATTTACGTATAAATACAGTAGTTGTATTTATTGACGTTTTAACGGCACGTTAATAATTCCGTAAAGAAATATTCGAATTTGTGTGAATGTCCTTAATAATTAAGTAATAAAAATCGATTTTACGTATACAACAAAGAGGTCTTTATGTGGCTTCTCGTCAGTCTTAATTATTTATAGGAACATTATCCGGCTATAAATTTAAACGCATCTCGAAAATGAGTGGACGTAATAATTGAAAATGTAGCCGAAACACTCGTAAAATTGTTTAAAAATACCTAGCGAAGTTCACATTATTATTTTTGGATCTGAATAATATTTGTCCTTGTTGCCAGTTTGCACCGTAACAAAATAACTACCATTTCATTTCGTAGTAGGTAGTGAAATGCTTGTTTTGGTTTTTGTTTTTCATTAAATATTTTTTACGCAATTCTTATCTGGTTTTATTGTCTTCTAAACGCAAAAATCTAATAAACTGATCGTATATCATAGTCATTAAGTGTCGTTAAATGCTTCAAACATATTTATTTTCCACCGTATAATTTTTTCAAACATTATTTTACCACTTTAATGGGTACTTACATGATTTATGAACATATCAACTTTGGCTGAGAATTTATAACAAATAACCAAGCATGCACTACTGGTAAGTATAAATTTTCGCCTTTTCATTGATGCTATTCTAGTTTTTATGAATTTCTTGTCTCAATACAAATTATCCTTTAATTAATTTATTTTAATTGTAAAGTATAAATTATTAAATTAAAATAAGCATCACCTGTTAGCTTCATAAATAAAGCAATTATACTGCATGATCATTATTAAAAAAAGACAAAACCGCCAATTCACGAAGTAACCACATGGCCATAAATTAATTTTTTTACCTTTATTTAATTTTGCTAGATACTAAAAAGCCTTACCATTGGATAACAAACCATTGTTTCCTACAGTACTATTTTCTTCGTAAAACTTTTTTGATAAGATGATATGATAAAGGCGCCAGGGTCGTGTTATAATCACAATAATCGATCATTAAATTTCAGAAAGGGAACAGCACTTGTTAAAAAATATGTTCAGTAAATAGACGGGAACAAAAACGCGACAATAATAACCGGATCCCTTCCAATACAGGTAGTCGAAATACAACTGGTGTTTTGATTTGATTGGAAAGTTGTGGCGCCGCGACGCTTACGGGCGTCACAACCGCTAACGTTCTCAACGTGCATGCTGCACCATCTTCATGCATTTTCCTGTACTATTAGAAAAGTTACATTTAGGTATTTCCCTGATTTTATTTTTTAATGCACTCTGTGTGCAAGTAAAAGTTCGGGGTTAATAATATACATTCATTTATACTGCCCTTAAGTACATTATTTAAATTTAAAATAAAAAGGCATTAATATATACGGTGTTCCTTCTTAAAATAGGGTTGTTATCTTAGCGTTGATTTCAAATAACACAGTAATTAATTATAATTTTCCGTTTTTGTTTAAAAACGGAGGAGTAATCGCCATCTGTTAGGAGAACTTAAAAATAGCATCAATATTTTTGCAAATTGAGTAGCATATGCTGCCATCTGCAAGTAAGCTTGAGAAGCTTGTTGAGTACAATAAATTCCACTAAATGCAGCTTTATACTACAGATGGCACCACTTGTAGGATTGCATTGAGAAGTATATTTAAATATTATACCGCGAATTTCCATACAAACAATATAATCTATCTAAAAAAGGCTAATTTAGTAAATAAATTATTTACTTCAGTTACTGAAAAAGTTTAAATTCCTTGAGACGAGCTTTTCACGAGCATCATCTGTTAAATATATACATATAGTCGTGAGGGTACCAAAATGAAAAGTGCAAATGTCTAAGTCTGTACTCAACGAAACGAGAAAGAAGCTATATTTATATTAGATAACATATTATTAATTGCATTATATGATAAGAGGAATAATGTTGAAAAATATGTACGAATATATCCTTATTTTCCAATTCCATTTATTTGTATTACAGTTGTTCTAGTTGTAAGAGTAGTGTTAAGTATTATTCTTAAGTCCACACCATATGTAGATACGTATGTAAATTAAAATTGTTTATTAATATTCTTCAATCAGTTAATTGTACATAAATTTACTGTAATGTGTTTATATTTTGAGTGACACTAAAGACAAAATAAATAATCGTTAATTTTCATCAAACCACACTATTCCAATGCAAACAAAAGAAGTATGTAAACGATTAATTCTTATTGATAAAAATTACAGACATAATTTATGTTTTACAGCTTATCTAAAACATTTTTATTGATGTTCTACATTATATCAGCTGTTTATGTAGATGTAGTCCACCTTTTAATATCATTTATCAATATCCAAGTCATTTAATTCTTCATCAAGACCATCTAAATCCTCATCTGCAAACAAATTTTCATTAATTGGTACATTAGTGATATTATCATCTTGGGATCCTTCAGATATTCCATTCTCTTTTTCAGAATGCCCCAAATTATTATTTTTTAATCTCCCCTCTAGAGCCAATGTCCCTGTATCATCAGCCTAAATAAATAAAAAATTATGTAACAAAATTAAGTATCTTTCTGTCTTGTCAACAGCATACTTCTTGTGCTTCTAATGCAAGGTTGTCTAAAACTAATTCTTTATATTCTATGCCTTCATCTTCGTCTTCTACAGCATATGAATCGAATGCCTCATCCCCTTCCTCCATATCTTGCTCAGCAGCAAGGGCAGGATTAAAACTGAACATTTCTCTACCAGAAAGACCAACTTGTCTGCCTGCTTTATAATCACTTCGTTTTTTCTCTTCTTCTTTTTTGGCATTGTCAATTTTTTCCTAAAAGTTGAAATACAATTAGTTTACACTACACATGGGAATAAAATATGTTCTTATCACCTCAATTTTTCTCCTCTTCCAAGCTAAAAATGTTTCTAAAGTTACTTTGGTTTGTTTAGGTCCCAAAGCAGCCCTTTCTCTTTCAATTAAGTCTTCAATAGAAATTTCATTTTTCTTGGCATCTTTCTTTTTATCTTTTTGAAGTACAAAACCAGGTGGTAAAGCATGCCTGTAAATACATTTCTCTCCTGAAGGACATTGCCAAAACCAACCATATTTTGACTTTTCGACAGCTTCTAGAAAATGTTTACAAATCTAAAATTAAGTTTTATTTAAAAAATCAATTCGGTAATTCACTGTAAGTAAAAACACTACATACAATTTCAGTATGAGGCATTGTCTTGTTACTTTGACCATGTTTTCTTTCTATTACTTCTTTAAGTTTTTCTTCATCCCAATTATCCATCGTATCTTCTAGTTCATCATCCCTCATGTCCACATACAAAGAACGTTTTTCAGCCTTCCTTTCAATTGTAAGATCATGAGAAAACTTACATTTATCACCTTTGCCACACTGGCCTTGTTTGAAAAATGCACATACAATTGATTTCGGGTCTGCACCTATTCAATTAATTAAACTACATCAGCAACAAATAACTAAATTTTATAGTTATTAGTACCCTTTTCCACTTTTTGTGTTTGGACTGGTTTAAATAGCATTGCCAATTCCTTTTGTTCTTTAAGTTTCTTCTCTCTCTCCAATTTCTTTGCTGGATCTTCTTTAACTGGATGATGACCGCCAGATTTAACCTGCTTTTCTACTTGTTGAATAAATTTTTGCTGCTTAGCCCCCTTTTTATTTTTTAATCCGAATGTTTTATCCTGAAAGCTACACGTGAAACTCATATGTTCATAATATTAGCATGAAATTTTTAATAAATACCTCGATAACTTTTTCTTTCTTTTTCTGTTCGGTTTTTTTGCTAGGCCCGGCCGCTGGTGCTTTTTTCGGTGGCATGATTTACAACTTAATTAATTGATTAATTNGTATTCGTGTACATTTTTAATTTAGAAGAATTAAGTTTTTCTGTAAGTATATTTCGTGTAATAAACTTGTGTTTAAACAACTAAATCAGTTACATGTAAGTTCTCAATAGAAAAACAAAAATCTTCTTCCTCGGTTAACATTCTCCATATCCAATATGCAAGAGCTTTTTTTTACGCGGTTCGTTAGCAACAATTGTTTGAAAGTAGTCGCATAAGGCCCCTGTTTCTTCAACTATATAACTAATGGTCACTATTTTATCTTGAACTTTTTTTCAAGTTATTCCCGGTGAAGGACATGAATGGGCGTCCTTTGCAATTTTCATCTTCCTTGGATGTTCTGATCAGTTTAAACCCCATGCACAGGGTCCGCCAATGTTTCCACCAAGTCGGCGTGTGTCTTTGATAGACATTTTTGTCAAGCAGCTCTCGTAGCAGCTATTTATCTTCTAGACTTTTTTAAATTACTTAATTAGGGAAAGTGCAAGGAAGCACAATCACCTTTTTCTTTAAATTTTTATGAGTAGACAATTGTTACTTTTACGTCCTCCCTCATACATCACATATACTTACAGCACTACTCTTATGGTAGGGACTTGTTTCACTCGTATAGTATTTATTCACACATTGCATACTAATGATTTTAGATTTTGGGACAATTTCGCTTAGCTCAATAGTTCATTGCCCTAACAAAAAAAAACCATACCGAGGTTTTTAAATTTAAAAACGAAGAGCTCGTTTAATGGTTCCATCTAAGTAAATTTTTAACACGTAAATGCATTCCAACCTGTTAATTAAAAATCAGGTTACTTAAACAATTAATTATCATAAAATAAAATTATAAATATTCGTACAATAACTTGCTTAGCTAAGTGATTAATAATTACTATATATTACATTAATACTTTGTAATCTAAGAATCGTTTACAATTAATTCTTAATTTTAACGATATAAAGCGCCACATTTTTTTATTTTTGTCCTGTGAAATTAGAAACTCCCTGCAACAAGAAAAAATATAACTAATTGTTACATTTTGTATTTTTAAATGCTACAGGAGATAATTCCTTTAACAAAAAGATAGTACAAAGGGAAAAAGTCTTTAAATTGTACCTTTAAACATTTCTCCAGAGAGTAAACTGTCAAGAGCCTTTTGGACTGAAGGGTCATTCAATAAAGGTGTGGGAGTTACAGCTTCTGTTTCCACCGGAGCCCCAACAGGTTTAGGAGATTCATTCTGTCCAGATTTGTTCAAAATATTCAATATACGGTTCTGTAATTCGGCTGCTTTATTATTTACTGCAGGCTCGATTGTTTTCTCGATGCCCTCTTTATTTTCATATTGACTTTGTAGTTCTTTCCGTTCTTCTAAATATTTTAAAATTTTGTCATACTGAAGAGTCGTTAACTGACGATTTTCAGCCAGTAAATTAAAAAGAACCTAATACATAGAAATTAATCAAAAATGAAACAATTATTTCGAATAAAACGTACCTGAATTTGTTCTGGATGTCGATCTTCTAAGGACATGCTTGTCCCATTTGCTCTATTTGTCTTATCGCCCCTCATATAGGCTTCAAAGTTGCGACTAATAAGTTTTAGGGCGTCTTCTATTGGCATATTTCTGTGTTCTATAACAACAACCCTTACAAATAAGAAAACATACTTTAATCCAATATTATATGAAATTTAGTACCTTGAGGAAGACCATGCAATATGTTCAATGTAAGACTACGATTTTCCTCATTTTGTGGCATGACTAAAATGGCATATAGACAACCTCTGCTGGATATACTCGCAAGAACTCTACCAAGTGGTACATCTTCATTAGGGAAGAGCAAATCAACTATTAACCCTAAGTTTTTTAATCTCTGTTCAATAAATTCAGCATATTCTCTAAAAATTAACAGACAATTCAGTATATGTGCTTTGTATTTAAAAAGAAGACATAGTTACGTTAAAAGCTTTGACACAACTATTATTTCACAGTCATTTCTCTCAGGTGGTAAAGGGACTTCCACAGCTGGGGGTGGTACATAAGGTTGTGGTGGATATGGTTCTTCTCTACCATAGAATTTTGAACGTGGACCATCTCTGTCACAATAACAATCACAATTAAATGACTAAAAGTATGTTCAAATGAAAGGTAATTCTTACCTAAAGTTGTCCTGATTAAAAGTTTTTCTTCCACGTCCTCTTTTTGCTGGAGGTACATAGGAATCAGTTGGTTCATTCTTTCTATTCACTGATTGTGTGTCATCATCACGATCTCTTACTGTAAATTTGTTATGTGCATATTTATCTTCTTCACGATCAGCTGGAAGAAATTTATTATGTGGATAAGAATCATCATTAGTACCACGTTCTCTCCCTGAAAATTTCTTGTGGGGATCATCTCGAAATTTCTTTGGAGAATAAGAATCATTATCGCTCTTATTGTGGGGATAAGATTCATTATCAATTTCTGAAGATGCAAATTTGTTATGAGAGTAAGAATCATCAACTTGTTCTTTTGGCTTAAATCTGTTATGAGAATAGGCATCTTCTTCATTTTCTTGTGGTACTTGATTGTCTTGTTGATAATGATTTTCATCCGGATCATGTGCAATAAACTTGTTTAAAGAGAAATTGTCTTCAGAAAAGTCTTCTCCAGGGGCTGTGTCATTTCCCTCTTCTCTCCCTTGATTATCAATACTAGGGGAAATATCAGGCTCCTGTTTTATTAATGCCTCATTATTATCCTGGTGTGACTCTATCTGTTTATCACTGGGATTATCCCTGAGAATTGGTGTTGGCAACAAGCCACCTCTGTCCTGTTTTTGTCTTTGATTTTGTTGATTTGTTTGCTGATTTTGCTGTTGTTGATGTTGCTGCTGCTGACGAAAAGGGGGCTTTTGGTGATTCTTTTTATCAAAAGCTTGTTTAACAGTGAGCTTTCGACCCCGGAACATGCAACCATTCTCTTTCTCTATAGCTGAATGAGCTTCGGATTCTTTTTCGTATTGTACAAATGCAAACCCTCTTTGAAGAACAAGGCCTAAAATATTCCCATGAATTTTAAATTTTTCTTCTAAATCTAAGGGAATCAGTCCTTCGCCTAAATTTCCTATGAATATTCGTGACGGTGTTGTAGCCGGATTTTTCATAAATTGTTTGTCTGTTCGATACATAATTATGGCTGTAACCTAACGTAATCTACTTAAATATAAGTAGTTTTCTTGAATAATATCAAGGATAATGAAAAAATTTAAGCACTAATAACAACAAAACATAATTAATTAACCTCAGAATTGTTTTTGGTTAGCTTCTGATACTTACTTGACATTTGACGGTTGAAATAATAAAGTGACCTGTAGTCTGGTAGATAAACAAATCCGCTTTCCTTTAGATATCGGCCTATAGAGGCCACCAGTATACGGTATTTAAGACTTATTTGTGAAAATACATTAATAGATGTCAGCAAAGACCTTGAAAATGTAATAAATCTATTTTAAAAGAAATCACAAAATATAAACCTTTCTTAACTTTAATTACAATTAAACGTTTGTGGAGGCATTGGGAAATTTAATAAAGATTGTTGTTAAACACATTTATAAAAATTTTAATATTTTGCTAATAAATGCTCTACACTTTTCCTTTTTTTTTAATCGTAACTATTAAAAAATAAGACAGCATCGGATAACAACGCAGGTTGTAGGTACTTAGTACTACCTAATTACCCAAATAGTAACTAAATATAAAGCTAATTAAATAGTTCATTACAAAAAGCAAATCATCACTGCCAATAATTTAAAAAATGAAAATTTGTTATTTCCTAAAGGGGTTTTTTAGATGTTGAAATCAAATTTTCTTTGTATACACTAGTGGCAAGTTGAAACCTTATATAAGGATATTCTATCATCAAAGAGCGGCATCATCTTTTGAAAAATTGAAACAATTGTTGTGAACTATTAATATATATATTTTTTGAAACTTTACTTTCGTTTCCTTTAATCGATTATGGATTATCGACAAGTAAAGCCTTCTATCATTCATTATCTTTGAGAAGAACACTTTTTTTTGTTCAGTAATTTCAAATTAATGGGAGTTTTTAATCGACGAAAAAAAGGAGAAGGTTTTCAAGTAGAAGCGTCGATTTTTTGTCTTTTTTATGTATGACCACCCATTTTTTACAGAGTAGTCCGATTTTGATAATTCTTTTTTTATTGGAAAGGGTATACCCCGAAGTTGGTCCCATATAAACTTGGAAAAAAATCTAAACAGGGAACGATTTGTAGTAGGAAAATAATAGTAGTATTAGTAGTAATTAATAGACTATAGCACAAAATATTATAAAATAAAAACTTTAAAAAAAATTAAACCGCCGAAAAAACTGAAAAGCAAAAAATAATAAACCTTTATTTTATTAACCTTAATAACTAAGTTCTTCAACTAATGTAAGTGTATCTAAGTAATTTTGAAAATTTAAAGAAATAACCAAATCAAATTAACATTGCAATGGTTATTTCTTTAAATTTAAGGTAATTGATTGTTTAGCGCCGACTCAAAATTACTTAGGTCGGTTTATTTTTTTTTTTAAAGTTTTTATGGATTTAAATAAATTTTAAAGGTATGCCTACACTGAACCTGAACGGCACGGAACGCAGCGCATCAAATCATTAATCACTTCAGTTCCGAGCAGTGGATTTTTAAAATACCAGCGTTGCCTTTGTGACTAACTGAGCGGCATGACTTAGACTTCTAGAGGTTTAAACTATCCTTAGCATTCGGGAGGGCACTGGTTCAATTCCGGATCCGACTGCCTTAGTCCAAGTTTTTCTATGGTTTCCTTTGATAACTTAAGCAAATGCTGGGGTAGTAATATTCCACAAATAATCTCTCACTCTCTTTTGCCTTCATTTCGTCCGTCTCGTCTTTCTCATCCGAATCACCACCCACCCATTCCCACGATTACTGAAAGGAGGCTGAAGATGGGCTTCCGCACTATCCTTCAGTGTATTCCGAAGGAACTACCCTCCCATCAGCATTAGCAAATGGTGGGAATGAAATAACCAACAAATAAACAGATAAGTGCATAGAACTCCGTCGTTCGTCCGTTCGCTTCGCACCGTCCGTCCTCTACACTTCAGTGCCAGTGTAAGCAAACCGTTATGTTACGTATTTTATAATACATTTAGTTAAGTTGCCTTAAAATTTTTAAATTTCAAAAAATTATTAGGAATTTATCAAAAAAGTAATGCTCCCTCCCTCTAACAATACAAGCAAACAAAAATGTATGCTTAATAATACATGCATACATATGTACATGTACTGATAAAAATATTGATAACAAATCCGCCAGCCAATGTAGAAAAAAAGATGTTCTAATCAAATTCAGTTACAATATTGGTATTGGATAATGAAAGATCTCACAAAATGAGACAAAGAATGTTTTTACCTATTTACTTTTTAATATTGCTATTCGATTTATCAAAGGGTGTTGATGAAAAACCAAGCCTTTACAATTATGCGGGATGTGTTATTTCTGGAATGCAAGATGCAGATTTTAACATGGGGTACGATAATACCCCAATTAAGGACGATTTCAAGGGTACAATAGCTACTTTCCAAACGAAGGACGTGTACGGTAGGTTTAGGAATTTATTAATCTCAACAAATTCTTTAAATCAATTTACTTATTTGTTTTTATTGGATCTATACTGTAGTCAAATGTTTTGAAGGTCGTTTTCCCTTCTTTCCCTTTTTTTTCAGTTGAATTAAAACGTAGGGCAGCTTTTAACAAGTATCTTTAGACAACTTTGTTCTTTTTAATACCGGCTGCACCAGAAATTTTTGCTTTTTATAAACGTATCTTTACTAAACAGAAGATTTTTTCTAATACAATTTCATGCTTATCTTATATCTCAGACATTGATTTTGCTCAATAGTTAGTGTTTGTATTGTAAAATGAGTAATTAATTTGCTTCGTAATATCCTGTTATTTTAATTTTTGATAAGATTGTGGCGAATTTATAATTATGAAAAATGGTTAAAATCAGTTAAATAAAACACTTAAAGGAATGTTTCACCAGTTGATTGACTAGAACTCAGAAAAGTTAAAAACCATACAGTCCTTTATACCTAGGGTTGCCATACATCCCGTATATACGGGACTGTCACCGTATTTAAATATCACGTCCCGTATTGTTACTTGTCCCGTTTTTGTCCCGTTCATCAATATTTCAATTCCACCAGAAAAGTCGAGGTAGCTGCAGCCTCTATGCGTGTAATGAGAATAAAATGAATGGTCTAAAACCTCTTCCTGGTGATTCTTCTTAACATAATTAAACTGGTTTTCGATTAATTTATCATGATTTGAGTGAATTGTTTTTGTTGTCGTTGTTTTGGCAATAATGGCAACCCTATTTATACCTACATGTCGTAGCACTGACAAATAGATACATTTTTTTTGTTATCTATTCGCAACGATTTATCTAACTAATAAGACATTTTATAAAAGTCTTATACAATATACTTATCTAAAGATCTTTTCTTTTCATTTAATCACAACTATTTAGACTAATTATACTTTATTTATTGTAAAACAAAATATTAAATTGCTTTTTTTAATTGCGCTCCAATGGGAAAATAATCGAAACACTTGAGTCGTACTCATCGTTTTGATGTTGGAATTAAGTTAAATTTTTTCTTTTATTTCAGGTGTGGAAATTAGTGGCACAAACTATTTTAATGCCACTTTAGAATCTGATACTTTACGAATTTTTACAACAGATGAATACAAGAATGTAGAACCTGAAATAGGATATGATCCTTTCCCAGAGATAAAATTCCAGTTAGATCTTCAATGTATAAAAGGAAACATAAGTCTTGTAAGTTTTAGTATGCATAGCTAAGACACGTAACTCATAAAAAATTCGACTTTAATTTGATCGCGAAAAGCTTTAACCTTATAAAAATAAAAAAATACGAATTATTACAACCGAGGGTTAAACTAGTGAGGGTAACTTGTGTAGATGAGATATAGGAGAAATCCTCCAATTCATCCCTTCTCGAATTCGTGTTTCTTTTCTTGTCTTCAATTCAACACGTTCAGCAATTCTTTGACGATGATGAATTGTTACTTCTATTCGGTTTGAATCAAGAAAGATGAAAAAGAAAAGGAGTTGAAGAAATAAAAAATAAAATAAAAAGAGAGGTATTAGGTACGTGAGCTTTAATTATTAAGTGTGTAATTTCTTCAGTTCATTGTTTCTCGAATTCGTATTTCTTTCTTGCATTAATTTCAAATGTTCATCAATTCTTTGACAAAGAAGAATTGCTTCTTCTATTAGCTTTGAATGAAGTAAGATGACAAATAAAAGGAGTGGATGAGATTAATTAAAAAAGAGAGTTGTTACTTTTAGTGTTTCTCCAATTCATTCTTTCTTGAATTCATGTTTTTTTTCTTGTTATTAATTCAACATGTTCAGAAGTTCTTTAACCAAGAAGAAGTGCTTCTTCTGTTTGCTTTGAATCAAGTAAGACAAAAAAGAAAAGTTTCAATTGTTATGCTGTACGTTCATGTCATTTAAAGACCAAGTTTTCACATTCTTTTGCATTGCAATTGGATCTCTTCTTTTTTTATAAGTGCATTGAACGTTATATACGTACATATAATTTTGCTAGATTTTTGTAGTAACGTGTAAACTAAGTAGAATAATACAATTACAAATAAATTTCGTTCGCCAACAAATACAGGTTCAAGCTACTTTAGTTTACTTAAAGATTAAAAAAAAACTTTTTTCTTTATTTTTTTTACCAATTTCATTTGTTTGTTTCAGAGATTTGTACAGCCTTTAACAGACGTTAACAACCACGATCCTTATTTCGAAAAAGAAATCTATGAGTATATTTACGTACAAAATTCCTTACCATCTAATCATCAATTAACTGATAATCAGAGCTTGAGTGCATTCGACATTGATATGACTAATAATCGACTATCATTTTCGATAGAAGAAAACGACTATTTTTCGATAGACACAGCATCAACCGATTCTACAACAAGGCAGACATTTACTACATTAACAAGTTTAAAAGATATTGAAGCACCATCAACTATAAAACTAAATCTAAGTGCTACAGTAAGTATATGCTTAATATTATAACAAAAATCGAAATGTTGAAGAGCCAAACTTATCTCAAACTCAAACTTATCGGCAGTTCGCCTTTAACGGATTCCTGCAGCTGATATTCAAATTTTTTGTTCCGTCGCTTAAAATCTATATTCCCTAACGTCCCAATGATTCTGTTTTTTGCACAAATTGAGTTATCTTAGTCTTCACGTCGATTCGCCATTTATGATAGTTAAGTTTACTCCGTACTCTCAGTTTTACATAACTTATTTTTAACGTTTCCTTTTGAAATTAGCAAAGAATTTTATACATTTATTTAGGAATGGCTGGGAATCATCACAAGATGAGTGAAGACGACAAACCGCCTCACCACTCTGTCTTATTTGCTTCTTTATTATCTTGGATTTGAGTCCTCGATTATTATTAATTTCGCTCTTAAAACAGTCGCTAATTGATCTACTAACCCGGTAGGTAAGGTGCACCAACCTTTGACGAGTGATCGAAATAAAAATTTATGGATCTTATGTAACAATATTTACAAAATTCTTTATTAACTATACAAATCAGGAATCGTAATACTAGTCGCAATAATAGTCTAATTGATTTCTACTAAACAGAATGACCTTTAAACTAGGGTCAATCCAAGAAAACCTGAAGGATGGCAGCCCTAGAGCAATAAACTATGAATAAAAGAAGGTGTCTTTATTTAAAAAGACGCTACCTCATATGCAATATATTTGCAAACTTTTATTTAACATAGTACTTACTTTGTTATGCATAAGTACATAGCTAATACCTCGCAATCCACGAAAATATTTAATGGAGATTACGGCGACAACGTATTTACAATAGATACCTGCTAATGATTCCTTCAAACCAATATTTACTACACCATCTTTTTATCTTTAAATTGAGGTCTTTCGTTNTACTTTGAACAGATTTGGGAAATTAGGTTGTTCCGTAAATATGGCTTGCCATCTTTCTGTGCAATATTATTGATTTGAAAGTACTCTGAATTTCGAATAATCGCTTACAAAATTACGATGTTTACTTAAGGCCTTAAATAAAGTATTTTTGCGTACTTTATGCGTCTTGTAAAGTATAACGTACGCACAGTCGAAATAGAGTACAATACTACAATATAATAAAGTACGATTGGCAACCCTAACCACGACCGAACAGTCCAAAAAAATAAATTACAACTTTTTTTTATTTAACAATTGTAAATATGATATTTGGGCGTATTCTGCTATTGAAGATCAATTGGAATGGTTTATAGTGTCTTCCTTCTTCTTCACTATTAACTGAATGGTGTGACCTTCATCTTTCCATTTAAAGACTTTTAGCCTTTTGTTCTTTTACTTCCTGTATAATTTGTTTTTTTCTTTTCTTTCAGACTGGTACAATCATTTCAAACCAATCTTGATAAAAGACAAGATTCTAATGACAGTAGTCAAACCATTGCCACGTGTAATTTTGGCAACTAACCCGTTTATCCTGTTTGATATCAAAGTTACGAAGAACAACAAGGAGTCGTGCTCAACTGGCGCAGCAATTTTGGTAAAACTACTCCCGCCACCTTTACCCCCGCTACCTATCAACGACGGAGGTTTTTCATTCCAACGTAACACTTACGTAGCTTTCTACAAGGGCGATCTGGAACTAACATTCCAACAACCAATATTGCTCGTTGGACAAGTCAATAGTGTTATACTGAGGATGCAAAACAGCAGTATGTATTAAAATTAAAAAAAATAGGGGCGGTTGGTGTTGTACAGCTGCAGAAAGTACCCAAATACAGGAAATATGTATTTTACACAACACAATCGTCACTTTTTACATTCTCCATTGATAACTTCTTAATTATTACCGCAATTTCAGTTTACGTTGCCAATTCACGCCCAGGACCGGCTTCAGATTATAAATTATTCGCTTTTTTTTCAAATTTTTACATATTCATTCTAATAACTGAACTTACTCTTCCTATTGCTCATGTTTTTGTGCTGTTTCATTCCTATTTTTATTCTCCCTCGTCATTTTCATCCCTTCGTACCTTTAATCATGTTTATTCCACTTTAAGTTCACGTGCTGCCCCTGTTCTACCCAAAAGCGTTATGAGAACTACAACTCCCCACGAGATACTTACCTATCTACTTTTTTTTTTAATTTTGTAGAAATTTTATAAATGATCCTTACCCTTTGTAGTTCTAGGTATTTCCCTATTTCTTTCCCAAGTGATCTAGCTATTTCTCATTTTTTTTATTAAAACCTTATTACTTTTTACCATAATTATGTACAAATGTTTCAGATTACACTAATTATTTCTACGTTAAATCGCCTTTCCGTAAACTGGTGACTATACAGTTGAAGCAAACTCTGAAACGTACCGATTTTGACAATGGAATAATTCTGTTCGACATAGTTGCTTTGAGTACCAATTCGTTAAATTCAGCCACTGCGTCAGTGGTGGTTGTTTGGGATGGGCCCAAAACTATACTAATTTTCTTTACTGATTATCTATCAGGTTTTGTGTATATCTTCCTTTTACTGACGATCCTTCTTGCTATATGTGCAGCCATCGGTTTTAAACTAATGCACAAAACAAGACGCCCTGTACCATCTACAGCCCTACAACCACCACCACCTTATACACCAAACTCTGAGGAAAAATAACACCTTATTCAATTGATGCAATAATATTCTTTAGTACTCACCATTAAATTAGTAACATATTGATATAAACAAGTAAATAATATGTATTTTAAAAATAAATAAATTATTATATAGTAACGTATTATTGTAAGTTTTGTTGGTGGAAGAATAAAACAATTGACTTGATAAGGTGACATGCACATCGTTTTAAATTATTTTTTAGTATATACAGCGCTATACCATTCCAAAACAATCATATAAGAACTGTTATCATCACAAGATTATATTATTATTATCCCTCAAGAAATGCAATGATCCTTTGTCAAAATAAACTCGAGTGATAAGAGCTTTTCCATATAAATCATCGATTTCAAGTCAAGAATTTGGATAGGGGGAGAAATCCACCACTGTGTATGACTGATGTCATGTAACACAAAATCAGTGTCAAGTATATTTTTTATAATTTGAAAAAAAATTGTCAAAATTGGTCGTATTCAAAATTATCTAAATTAAAAATGAGAAGAAATTGTATGAAAAGTGATGAGCAAAATTGATCTTGACCTTGAATTTTCGCAAGATCAAGATCAAGGCCAAGATTGTTTTTATATTAGACCAAGACCAATACTAAACGAACAAGACCAGGAATAAAACTAAGATCGCACGAACAAGACCAGGATTAAAACCAAGACTGAACAAATATAATCAAGACAAAGACCGAATGTGCAGGACCAAGACGAAATACGAGACTAAACGGAAAATTTAATTCATTTATGAATTAAACTACTTGAAGCAATTCTAATATATTTTTTTCTAGGAAAAATGTATTTTTAGTATTTGAAATTTTCAATTTTGATTTACTAGATTTTAACACTTAATATATAAATAAAAACAATTTTACTACTGTTTGAATAAAGGGATCTACAAGAATGTGCTCGGAGTAAGTGTTCTTTGTTTCAATGTCTGTGGTTCGAATTTCCCTAAACCATCCCACATCCTTAACCATTTGCGAACAGTAATCTAATCTAGGTCTACCTCTACCACTCCTAACTCCCGTTTTTGCCTTTAATATGTCTCTGACTAGACTTTCAAGCCTAAGAAGGTGTCCTACAAACCTACCTCGTCTATTTCATATTGACTTCTGTGCAGTGCTATGTTCTCTTATTCTTTATAATGCCTCTTCATTTCTAACCTTCTCTATCGATGGTATCCTTATCATTCGCCGGTAAGACCACATTTCGAACGCTTCCAACCTTTTCTTTTCCGCCGCGCTCACCGTTCATTTTTCGCACCCGTACAACGCCGCGCTCCAAACATACACCTTTAACAATCTTTTTCGAATTTCTAAATTAATCGTTCGCGAGCATAGAAGTGATTTCCTTTTATTGTAGGCAATTCGACCCTGCGCTATTCTCCAGTTTTTTTTTTATTATTTTCATTTCTTTCAAGTAATATTCCTTCCGCTAAAAGGTCAATTAATACGTTTAAGGAAGGGTAAGTTTTCGAATTTTCATAGGTCTCACAACTATCGACACTATTTTTTTTTAAGTCATGACAAGCTCGCAGGTGTGACTGCAATAATGATGTAAATCAGATAGGAAGACCGTAGCGTCGCTTAATAGCTTATTTCGGGAACAAAGTGTGTCTAGGAAGAACAAGTACAGAATTCTCACTACCATTACCAAGTCTATAGGTAGTAACATGCAATAGTAAAGTTTGACCTCTAAAACACACGTCGGAAATAATGCTTAGGATGTTAGAAATGAGGTTCTGGAGAAGAGTCGCTAGAAGAGCTGAAACAGGAACGGTCCACCAATTAGATAAATCATGGACGTCTCTCATGACATAATCGAACATATAAGAAGAAAACAACTACGATAATACGATCACGTACGGATGCTGAGGATTTAGAGGATATCAAAACAAATTTTACTATGGACATTGGCTGGTAGAAAAAAAAAAGAGGACCCGTGAAAAGCTGGATCGAGGGGATTAACAGCGAGATGAGAGAAGGAGCATTAGAAGAAGAACAAAGGAGATTGGGAATCGGAAAACGTCGTAGAACGTTATAGACTAATTTATATATAATTAACTAACTACGTATTAAACATTTAATTGAAGCTCACATTTATAAACAATTTGAAAATACGATCCTGATGCGTTCTTTCTTATTTTTTGTATTACTTTTTATACTATGCTTTATTATCTTGCTTTTTTGTGGTGTTACATACTTTGATTAGTATTAACGTCACCACGTGGCATTTAATATTTTGTTATTTATCTCAACCATTGTAATGTCTTTAATTTAAATGAAATTTTGATTAATCACTCTACTTATTACTTTATCTATACGTACTTATGTGTTTTTGTAATCAATGTCTCACTTGAAAATTATTGTACTTTTACACACGCCGAATTATTTGGAATTTTGTTTTCTACATAACTCAAGAAATGTAGTAGTTACTGCTAACTGTACATTTCTATAAGTCACCAAAAATTACCTATCAATTTTTTCCTAATATTTACAACACTTGTGTCCTTGAGAAAGCCCCCATCAGGAATAAATGGTTGGCGTGAGTTTTGTCATGTTATTCATCCTATCAGCTCTGATTTGTGCCTATGTTAATTTGCAAAGATTCCACAGTTGGTAATAAATGAAATAAAACGGAATTACTGAATATCTCTTTGAAGCATAAAAAAGTAATTTCATTAAACTGTATAAAATTATATACTTGCTTAGAATGCATTGAAATATGTTACTTATATAGGTAAGTACAATATAAATGGGATATATATGAAAAAATGATATCTTTGTTCCAATTTTAGCATTATGAAGTGTCAAACGTTGAAAAATAATTCACGTTTGATTAAGTGTAAGGACGACAGCACATGAAAAAAATAACTAAATACATATAAATAGATAAGTTTTATATACAAGTTCCTACATGCTATCTCGTGGTTTTCAATTATGGAGTGTTTTTGTGTAAAATTCTGAGTGGAAAATCAGGTTTTTGGAAAAGAGGGAAATGTAATTCCTCAAACTTTTTGCAGCTTTCTTCGGCAAGTTTGATACGTAAAATTTGGTTAATTATTATTTGCAAATATAATAATACAAATGAATTAATAACGATCAAAGTAAATCTTTTTATACCAGAAAATAACCCACCCGCTTCGCTGAAGAACTAATGTTTATATAGTTGGGATGTTCAAAATTGGCATAGTCTGCAATAAAACTCTCGCTTTTAGTTTTTTCTTTCAACTTACTGACTAGACTAGGGCGGTTGCTGACAGTACGCCTATTTTTATTAACGACAGACGTTGTAGGGAATATCGTAAACATAGAAAAGAGATGTCAGGTAGGATTTGCAGCGGACACTAATAAAAAAAAGAATAACATTACACTAATTGATGTGTAAAAGAAAAAGATGCAGACAAGCAGAATAAAAAGTTGCCAACATTGGACTTTAAAGAAACTTGAACTTGAAAGCAAAAACGCCTGTTCAAAGATATAATTCCAACCACACAGTTATAAAGCCGGCCCTGATCTTATGCGTATCTAAACAACCTCTAACCGCTGCCCCGCTTACTATTTATCGGTTATCTCTTTTCACCTTGTCTATACCACTCATGAAGCATTTCCTTACTTAACAAGAGCATGTTCAAAACGCAGCAAATGACTACAGTTCCAAGAGGAAACAAGAAGGGAGATAAGTCCATTCTCACAGATAAATAATTTATTGCGACTTTGCCAATTTTAATCGTCCCAAGTATAACTATACCAATCCGTTTCAACCCCCCGCGGACCTTTCTCGGAGATCTTTCCTTAGTGTTTAAGGGATATATCCTCAATATTCCAAATTTCCATGTCCATCAATGGTTTTTACCAGTCACGGTACTGTTTTATGCCCTTTTTTTGTAGTCTACGTAATACTGCTCAACATGTTTCTAGACCACTTTATTATTTTATCAGAAAGTAGCTCACCTAACATGTATGCTTCGAGGTCGATAAGTGCTCATCAGTAAAAGGTTATCGTGAAATTGGCATTTTCAGGGTTCAGGTCTACAAAAACTGCCCAGAAAATTGTAGATCAATAGGACCATTTGATTGTGATAGTAAGTATTTATTTTCAAAGTGCGTGAGAATCATCTGATGGTTGTTAATTCAGCCTTTACACTCTTAATCTGTTCAAGGCGGAGGCCCATTTTTGTAGACCAACTTTTTCTTAATTTTTGTATTAAATTATCTAACATGAAAAGCAAACGGTTGATTGCATTTACGTTTTTAATTTAGTACATTCCACATAATTTAAATTGACGAAATTGAAAACGGTCCATTTTCCATCAGAGTTTTTGTATTAGATAAAATGGTTGTTTCGAGCGAGTGGTAGACTTATTCAGGTTGAAGGGTCGCGCTCTAAATGAACTGTTAGGTCCAGACGTTTCGTCGGCAATTGCGGCTGACATCTTCAGTAATGATGCACTGACAACGTGGGAAGTTATATCTCGTTTCTAAAACATTTGGGCATTTCGTTCCCACCTAGTAAGGTCCTCTATTAGAAATTGTGGGAATGGTTGGGGTAAGAAGGAATAAGGACGACCTGAAACCAGAAGAGAGTGAATTATTATCTGTGAATATTACTGCCCCAACACTTGCCTAAGTGATCCAAGGAATCTACAGCAAAAGTTGGACTAGAGCAGACGGATCTGGAATCTAAGGGGTGTTCTTCTGAATGCCGTGTAAGCAATGGTCTAAACTAAACTAGACGATGTCGCTCGGTAGTTTTACTTCGAAATCTCTGAAATGAATCAGACAGCGCGTAAAATTATACCATGAAATACGACCATGAAAGCCCATGCATTTGTCATGCAGACGATTGTTAATAATTTGAAAAGAACGGCGATGTATTGACTAAAAAAAATGCTCGGAAAAAGGTATTTGACTTACCTTCAAATTTTGTAGGTTTAAGAATTGACATACACATTATAAGGATTCCGTTCCCTAAAAAGTCTTTAGGAATTTATTAATAGAGATATTATGTTCCCTGCAAGACTATACACGACTTATGTGCTGGACGAGCTATACAGTCAAACATTAAAAATTTTATGCTTACTAATAAATGCTTAGGTATATATATTGATAAAGCTATTGATAACAAATTCGGCAGCAAATATAAAAAGAGAGAGTTTCTAAACAATTTCAGTCACAATATTGATATTGAATAAAGAAAGATCATACAAAATGAAACAAAAAATGATTTCGTCTCTTTCCATTTTATTGGCGTTGTTCGGTTTGTCAGTGGGTGCTGCTGTAAATCCAAGTAATAAAGCTGCAGGATGTGTTATTAATGGAGTGCAAGAAGATGATTTTCTTATGGAGTATGTTAATTCTCCAATTAGGGATGATTTCAGTGGTGTAGTTGCTAATTTCTCAACTCAGGGCGTATCCGGTAGGTTTAAGCGTTTAATCTTAACAAATTCCCTTCTAAACACTGGAACTTTACTACAAAATGCATTCATATATCTCTTATTGTTAAGATAGGTTCGTAAGAAATACATTTGCTTGACCGTTTTTTCGTTGATTTCTGTTGAAAAAGTAACTTTAAATTTTAATGGAATAATATTCAGTCTATATCCATTGAGAATGTCCATTCCAAATATTAGTGAAAGAATTTTTGAAATTGGATGAGTAGTTTTGGAGATTACCTTCTACATCCAAACTTAGAAACTTATGAACTTTACTTATTTCATCATTTTGATGTTAAAGTGTTAATTTAAGTTAAATTTCCTTTTATTTCAGGTGTGAAACTTAGCGGCTCAAAGTATTTTAGTGCCAGTCTGGTTTCGAATGTTTTACAAATCGTTACAACAAATGAATTCAAGAATATAGAACCTGCAATAGGATATGCTCCTATACCTGCGATCAAATTCCAGTTAAATTTGCAATGTGCATCAGGAAATGCGAATCTTGTAAGTTTTAGTATAGGCAAAAAGAGTTAATTTTCGGATACAAAGTTTGACGTAGGTATCTAACAAACGTATGTTTATTTTTTATTTAGGTGAGTGTCTAATTCTCTGCGACATTTCTTAACTTTTGACAACATAAGCACTAGTAATAGAGAAATTATAATTAATATAACCATAAATAAAATAAATAAAAGTAAAACAAAAATACTGGTAAGCAAAGGAAGAAAA